GCGTCTAGTTTCAACTTCTTGAAAACGAACCCCACATTGTAGTGCTACAGTCTGCTCTCATATGTTGTGCTTATATATGTTGGTCTGATGCCATTTATTTTATTTGTTGATTTTCAGTGAAAATTCTATTTTAAATTTTTTCATGACCCACTATTTATTATATTTCTTTTTCCTTTGATTTCTTATTCAGTGTGTATATGTACCTTGCATGGGAAGCCAGGATATATTTTAGTGACAATATCTACAGTTTTGCTGTAAAAATAAACATTTTTTTGTAATTTCTGGCGAAAAATGTTAAATTAACACTAATCCAATCAGAGATGATTTAATCTTTAACATAGCCACAACATATGTAATAATTTTTTGCTTTAGACAACAATGAAAGAACCAGTGCATCATGTGATCTGGTTTCAATACCTCCTATACTTGTACAGGTGATAACTTTTTTGATTGGTTGTTCAATAGACAGTAGAGTTGATTAACAAAAAGGGGTGACAGGTAGCCATATTGAGGGTGACAATTCATTATCACTAAAAAGTCACTTTCAATTAGTTCATTGCTAAACAGGTTGTTTACTGACCTTTTTGAAAAAAGGTCATGGGCTAGATTTCACTAAACTAATATTATTGGTATCTATGATACCCATGGTGTGTTTCCTGCACTATGAATTCAACTCATTGTTCATTCATAAGAACGGGGTTGTACTCACTAGTACCTTTATGGGACTTACGGGACAACATTGGAAATCGTGGGGGTGGGTGAAACAGTGTGACTAGTTCAATTTTTGTTCACTTGTCTTATCTATACACTTTTTTTTTTGTAATGTGTCAACAATTTTTCCTTTCAGCACCTTGCATGCATTTTTTTTCTCATTGTCTAGCTTGTAATTTTTGTTTTGAACAAATCTGCCACCCACCATGATTTCAAATGGTCAACCCCTTGCTGTATATTTACCTGTCTGTGATTGTTCGAGTTTTAGAGTCAATTTAATGTTGACATAGGGAGAGAGGCAAAATATTTAATTCTTCCAGAAACTATGCTAGCTAAAGAAATTTAGATTTTATACTTATTATATACTTATTATTATATTATATATACCTCTTAAAGTGCAGGCCTTATAAGGAAATGACAAAAAGGGAGTATTATATTGATATTCTCAGGAATCTGTCCATGTAATTATAGCCTATACATTTTAAGTAACTTAATTTAAATCTGTAACATTACACACTGTGCTAAACATATCTGATAATCAGATCCTGTTTTACTTACTGAATATGATGTAGTTGGAATTCATCTTATGAATTATATAGATTTTGTTCTCTTTTTTTTTTCACTATGAAGTTTTCAGTTTAATAAATGATTCTTTGTGGGAGATTGAAAGGCAGTGAATTTCAGGAAAGCGTGAATGTTTTTTATGGAAATTTATAAAATATTTATCCTCTAAGACCCTCACACTTTATTAAAGCGGGGGTGTCGTCACCTGCGCATGCGTCAGATGGTCATAGCGTGTCATTGTTTACAAACAAGCGTCTACCCATGAACCTTTGCATTTTTAGCGTGTGTTGTTATCGTCGCTTGGGACTCAATTCCCGCGTGTGCGCAGGTGACGATCCTCCCGCTTTAACATCCAAAGAGTATGCTTTCATTGATTATATAAACCATACACATTAATACACATTACCCTCAAGTCTTTGCGAAAGTTTCCTCCAATCATTGGAAGATTTACTGCCATAGATCTGTTAATGCATTAATTGTAATTGGTCAAATTGTTTTCAAACATCAATTGAAATTTATTAAACATTCATAAAATATCTTATTATAAAAAAAATCATTTAAGCCTTTATGAAATTTACTGTAGCGAAATTTATTGTACATGCCAGCTTAATGACAATGCATACAGTTAGTGTGCATTTAATGCAAACTTGTCTTGTCTTGTCAAGCGGAAATTAAGTACTCAATGCAGTTTATTGTAAACTCTGTATAGAGATATTTCTGAGTAACTCGATGTGTAAAACATTTATTCCTGTCCTCGACCCATATTCAGTAGCAGTTGTTCTCAATGATTGATTGCTAGAATGGGATTAGTGCTGTACATGTAGTGTACGTGTATCTGGCTATGAATACCTACGGTGTATGACAGCTACCTGGTCACACCACACCACACCACACCTAGACCTAAGTCTCATGAATCAGAGTATTGTCTTCTTATAGTTAGCTGTGCGTGTCTGCAAGTATGATGTAATGTCTGCTATATCGTGCAGTACGTGCTTTCTCTTTCAGAACTCAATGTTCAAATTATAAATCAAGTCTGAGTGTTAGAAATATACTGTAGAATACTTTATTTTCGCTTGGAATTTATTTTTGCTATTTTAACTGAAGGGAAGATTCCGTGAAAATAAAATCCAGCGAATATACTTTTTTTCCTATATTTCACATTCAACTCATCACAAATCAGTGAAAATAAATTCCATACAAAAGGCCCAAAAAGCCTTTTCAGCGAAAATTAATTCCAGCGAAAATAAAGTATTCCACAGTAATCTAAAATAATACACATTAGCATATAAATTTAGGGTCATGAAAATAAGAAATCGAAACATTTAGAACAGGACTTAAAACGATGAACTCTATTAACCTTTCGGCACTATAATTTCTGCTGATATTTTGATGCAAAATTTTACTATTTTACTATTTTTCTATAATTTCTTATTTAATTTTGGCCCAAATGCACACTATTCAGCATTGGCTATAGGTCTTGAACAATAATTTCTGAAAAAATATGGAAAATATTTAGAAGGTTTATTTTCTGATAGGTGACGGAAGTCGACTCCGAAGTTCAAAGGTTAACTTAGGCTGTCAACTAATGTTACCTAAAACCATTGGCAGTTTTTTTTTTTTTGCTGGCCACATGAACAGAGACATATTGTACATGATTGAACAGCTAAAAGTGGAGTTAACTGTGTCATCACATCGGTATTTCACTAATTTTCTTTTTGAATACTAAGACTGTCGACTGGAAGATTTTGTTGTGGGTGCATCACATAATAACAAAATTAGGAAAAAAATTGGCATATATGAATAATAATAAATATTTGTAAAAAAAAATATCTTCCAGTACCCCCCCCCCCCCAATCCCTATTTTGGGCTCCTAATGAACATGTAACTGATTTACATTTTAATGAAAATGTCAGCATGTTAATTTCAATTTGACTTACGGTACAACCTAAAAAGTTCAATAAAGTTGACCTAAAGTCTATGAAGTCAAGTTTAGTTTGGATTGACAACAACAGAGCTATACTCGCTTGACCTACTCAAAACTAATTCTAAATGTTTTCTGTTTAGTTTGGATTGACAACAACAGAGCTATACTCGCTTGACTTACTCAAAACTAATTCTAAATGTTTTCTTTCATTTTTCCTTCATATTGGTTTCTATCAAATATAGTTATTTTTTAATGCTCTTCATGTTGCCATGGCAATTACTTTCCATTTGTAATTGAAGGGAGTCAAGACTAATTGGTCAATCAGAATAGTTGTTACTTGATTACAATAAAGTACAAAAATGAATAATGTTACGTGTGTGGAATTATAGCAAACAGCAGAAGTTGACATCGTTAGATTTGTGATGTCATGTATGTTGTCATGACAATCACAATGTAAAAATGTATTTTTTGAGAAATGTTGAAGTTAATTGTGAAAATTAGTCAAATTAGTATATACTGAACATGCTGAAATGAGCACAATATTTTTTTACTGGCAAAATTTGGGTGCAACATTTTTCTAATTTCTGTAACTTTTGTTTATAATTTTGGATCAAATGGACTCAATTTTATAAAAGTGCAGTTCTTGATAAAAATTCTGGAATTAATATGAGAAAAATGTTGTTTATTTTAATTTGTGCAAGGTAACAAATATTGACTTCTGTGCTCAAAAAGTTAATTAGGAAAACAAAGCAAATGCTAGTATGAGATAATGCTGAGTCAGCAAAAAACACTATGATGATGTATTTTTATGAACCACTGAAAGCAGGGTATAAACAAAAGCTAGTAACTTACCTATAAATATAAATATTCTTCAGAAATTCTTGTAGCTGTTAACACCTAAGGAGAAATATTTACAGCAAGAATGATTGCTAATAATTACATTAACTTTATATTAGCTTGGTATTTCATGTCCATTTTAAATTAAATTTAAATGTGGTCCAAATTCATACAACTGTGGTTCATTATTAATTCTTGTTTCCCAAGTTCATTCTTTCAACTTTTAAAGAATAAGTCAGTCAGGCAATAACTTTCGCAAACTTCCTGTCAACAGATTTTTAGCTGTCCATCCTCTAATCATTCGTGTTTTACAGCTTACACAGCCTGTCAATATTATTCGGACAACATGTGTTCCCCATTCTATCTACAGGCTTAACTCCTTACAGAATTCCAACTTTTAAATCTGCTCGGAGTTATGAAGCTAGATTAGATCAAGATAACTAAAGTTTGAGTCAAATTTGCAGTGTGAAAGTAGAAATACCCTACATACCTAATTAAATTTAAACTCTCGGTTATAAATAATCCGTTTAACATTATAAAAGCAATTGAGCAGAGACAGGTATGTGTAATACAATACATGATCAAAACAGTGAGAAAAAAGATATACGGACTTGCAGTCTTTGGAATAAATGTGCAGTCATATTTTTCAAATTGCATAATAATAGTTTTCATTTTGTTTGGATTTGCAGTTCCATTTCAAATTTCACTAGTTTTCTGATTGTTTTTGTAACTTTGAAATGAATGAGTTTATCAACTTGACTGAAAACATGCAGTACCAGTTCAAAACTAAAAGTTTTAAAGTTTAGCACACCGGCTGTTAGAAGCCACAATTGGTAGCTGAAACGAATGATATATAGTGGTATCGGTACAAAGCTAGGGACAAAAAATATAAACATTTTTTTTGTACTTTTTTTAAAGTCAAAATTTTGATAATGAAGCAATTATAATTCAAAATGTGACTAACCTGATGTGCAAATGGTTTCCTCCGCCCAGTGTTGTAATGTGTTAAATGCCAGTGAATACCAGTGTAGGCAGCAAAATTTATGCTGCTGGACTATTCCATAATGATTTTAGGGGATATTGGATCTCCTACTATGGATGTGTTGTTTTTGTGATGCAGGTTTGTATTTGAAAGAAAGTGTGAATTCCAAGTTTTTTTTTTTTTTTACAGAATTGCTTAAAATTTTTCATTAATTTTAATAACTCTTTGAAATGACTGAATTTCACGATGTTTAAAATAATTGTTTGAGCCTCTTTACCTCATCACCTCCCCCCTCATCATCCCCCCCCCTTATATGCATTTATTGAGAGTGTCCTACTCATTAGTTGTTAACATTTGGCTAGGTACCAAGTGGGATATAATCTGAATGAGAGAAAGGAAGATCTAGTATTAACCACGGTTTTATGTGCGTCATGTGTATTGACAAACTTAGGGACGAGCCAAAATTGACATAGTGCCAGCACAAATAAAACTGGTTCATACCAGTTGTTGGTAATGGTTGTCATCAAGCAGCTATATGTATACTGTGCTGTCAGCAAAACATGAGTGACCTAAAAAAAGATGCTAGATCTACAATAAATTTAAGTCTTGTTTTTTTACTTTCTGCTACGAAATTAACATTTACTTTGTCTGTTCTTATATCCATATAGTCAGCAATATTTTATAATTTTTTTTCAGAATTTTTTTATTTTTCTGTACTGCCATATTGTATTTTTATAAACGCTTGTTCTCCAAATAAAACATAAATATTATTATTATAACTCACTCCCTGAATTCTGCACATAATTGTTTTAAATTTCATCAAATTTAATATTAATAACGATAAGCTATTTGGAACATGCACAATACATAGTTATATATATATATATATATATATATATATATATTATAAGTCCAAGAAAAATAAGAAGACTAACATTACCAACTAAAACTAAGATATTAAAAAACAATCTATTTAGAATATAAGGATCAATACTTGAAAATATTAATATTATTTTTTTTTACTTATAATTACTTGTAATAATGTAAGTGATAAGAAATTGCATCATCAGCATATATTAGGAGCAGTAATTTAGTTTGACTGCAACAATTTGTTTGTTTGTTTCGATTTATGTAAAATATGATGTACACTCCCTGTTGTATCAAGGTTACGCTCCTAATAAAAGAACCGGTTCAGTCTAGATCCTAGAGCTTATTTGGAATCTAATTGATAACAAATTTAATGTAGATGGGATGGGAAACTGGTTTTCCCCAGTATTCTACCAAGGTTGGGTTGTTATTGAGTCACTACTGAGGCATGGCTGAAAATCTGCCAAGGACAGCTTTGAATATATCAGTAGTTTATGTTCCTAACCTTTCTGGTGAACTTTAATTGTTACTTTTCATGGTACATAGATAATCACTCACAGTGTTATATGAGTTTGAAGAAAAGTTGGAAATGAGGATTTAATAATCACATGTACCCGTAATTCACTATGGAAATTGGCAGTTGTTACAATTTGAATTTCAATTAAATATTATTATGAACAGTAGGTTAAATTAGCGTTATTACAAATGTTATTATTAATTTTCTTTACTTTTGTGTAACTTGCATTCAATTTATTTTCACTTCTGCTCAAAGTTTTTTTTTTTTTTTCAATTATAAGTATGTGCAACTGTAAGAAACTATAGAGGACGCTGTAGCTATACGTGAACCTATTAAATAAGGGACGACGTCAAAAGATCGATGTCGGATAAAAAACTTATTTCCTTTAGTTTGGGGGTGGGGGGTTTTGACCTCAAAAAGTTTCCATCCTACAAAAACGAATTTTATTTTTTAATGAAGTCAAAAAAATCTTGGAGTAAATTTGTAGTTCTAT